GTCGCCTGGCTCATAGTTGCAGTGAAACGTCAAAAAGTGATTTCCAGGGAAAAATAAAGAAACAGACACCAATACCTTGGCCTGCCGGCAGAATGTCCCAGCAGCAGCCTGGCCTCACCTGCCAGGTGAGTTATTGCCAGGAGAGGTGCATAGGGGACTACAGCTCTCAAAAGTGGAGATGGCACTTGGAGGTGGCCCTCCCTGGGTGGCCTGCTTAAAGCTTCTATTTCTTTTTTATTTTATATTTTTATTGATTTCAGAAAGGAAGGGAAAGAGAAAGAGATAGAAACATCAATGAGGATAGAGAATCATTGAACAGCTGCCTTCTGCACACCCCCCACTGGGGACTGAGCCCACAACCCAGGCATACGCCCTGACTGGGAATTGAACCATGACCTCCTGGTTCATAGGTCGATGCTCAACCACTGAGCCACACCAGCTGGGCAAGCTTCTATTTCTTAACTGAGACACTAGTAGGCAGATGCCCAAACATTGACCTCAGTAGTAATATTCCAGTTCCCATGGATAGGATGACCATATGGTCAAGTGTTCATTCATAGGTTTTGTCTGGGCATATGGCAGCTATTTATTTCTATTTTTAGTAGTTTCTTTAAGGGACTTATATATATACTAGAGGCCCACTGCACAAAGAGATTCGTGCAATAGGCCTTCCCTTCCCCGGGCTGCCAGCACCGGTTTTCCTCCAGCACCCGGGACCCAGGCCTTGGCTCCGGCCTAGAGCCTTCTGTCTTCGCTGTTCCAGCCCGGAGCCTTCCGTCTTCACTCCGCCGCTTTGCGCCTACGTATGCAAAATAACTGCCATCTTTGTTGGGTTAATTTGCATACTCTCCTGATTGGCTGGTGAGCGTAGCAGAGGGATGGTCAATTTACATGTTTGTCTATTATTAGGTAAGCTGCATAATATGCTAATTAGACCAGATGTCCTTCCGGACGACCCTCCAGACGAAGCCAGGGCTGTGAGGGAAGCCCGGGTCCCGGGTGCCAGAGGAATCTGGTGCCGGCAACTGGGGGAAGGAAGGCCTACTCTTGCATGAATTTCGTGCATCAGGCCTCCCATACACTCTGACCATATAAATAAATTGCTGTATTCAATTTCCAATTATTCATAATCTTCAGACTGTACTCAACTATTTTAAATCAGCAGTGAAATCATTACATACTTTTGTGAATAGCTGGAGGAGATCCTGAGAGCTGGTAATTTCTTCACCAACTGCATTTCCTCACAGCACTATACCAAGGGCTAAATATTTTTAGTGAAGTATTGCTTCAATTATGCTAATTTAATGAGTCATCTGATGTAAACTTGCCATGATAACTGATGACTATCATGTTGGAAATAACCATTAATTCAAAAGGTGAGTTTTCATTCTAATTTTGCAGGTCGTTTGGCTAGTTGACATTGGCAAGTCATTTCATCTTTATGGTTTTTAGCCTATTATGTATAAAATGGTGAAATTAATCTTCACTTTTATGGTTTATATTATAAGCTGAAGGCAAGTATATATGATAGAAACAGTATAAACATCAGGAAATTATCAAACTTTATTATGATTCAAAGCAATAAAATTTAAGGTTATTTTAAGCCTACATTTTAGGAATATAGAAGTCCTATCTTTTAGAAGTAAATCAAAGTAATCTGGTAAGATTTGATAGATTTTCCAAAATCTAGTTAACTGACTCTATTTCAAAATTGTTCCTACATTAATGAAATTATAGTGTCAATTTGGAAAAAATATTCCTGTTTGGGGGAATCTCTTCTAGATAGAAAAGAAAAAAATGCCATTATGGTGGCATCCACTCCATTCCCAATTATTCTTGGTTGATTATTCAAGGCAGTGCCTGTAGCTTGGTCCATGGTGTTTCAAGCTTTGCACTTCACTTAATAGAGACCATGGTGTGTAGGGGGCTTTTTCACTCAATGAAAATCCTACTGGGTCTGCTCATGTCTCACATTTTTACCACTGACACATTTTTGGCCTTCAATATCTTAATTACTACTTCTTTGTTTCTGGTTAAAGCTTATGTGAAGGCACAGCCAACCATGTTTTCACCTGGTAGGAATGAGACATTTCCACGCACTTACAAAGACTGGAAATAACTACAGTCTACTACTCTCTGCTGCTATGGAAATAAGCCTGGGCTTAATGTGAGGTTTTTCTCACTGCCTAGATATGGTGAATGAGAACTTGAGTTACCCTTGGGGCTGGACTGAGTTGGGAAGGAGTAAATAGTCAGGTATATGCAGCTGATTACTCCTCAGGGATCTCCTACACCAGATAGAAAATCCATCCTTGACTACCTGCTGTCCTTGTGTGTCTCCACTCACATATTGTAATTCCAATTCCAGGCAGAAGGAATGTGATTGGCCTAGCTGGAATCACATGATCACTAGTGTGGTGAGAGGGCTGGAGGACTGTGGAAGGAAGCCCCACAAGAATCACATGGGGTGTGTGGGTGGGTGGGTGCAGTTACTAGAACCAGGGCAGGGATGGTGGAGTACAAAAGTTTTGTCAAACCTCACATTCCCTCTACCCGTCCTCAGATTTTCTATTCAATAAAACCTGGGAGAAGAGACAAGCATGCCTGTAGAGAGAACCCTCCCAGCCCATCTTGGATCCAGAATCTTACCTATGATCTACTGTCCAAAGAAAGAAAAGCTTTCCTCCTTATTTCCTTCCCGGATTCTCTCCTTAATTTTAGTAGGGAAAGCAAGAGGAAAAACTTGTGAATTCAAAAATACATAGATCATCCTTTACAGCAAACAGACTAAAAAAGAGAGGAAAGTTAACATGTAGATAAATTCTGAGGGAGAACAATTGAAGTGCTGATACTGGATGGTACGCACTTTCACATCAAAATAAGAAGTGTTTCTTTGGCTGGGATGGAGGTATGAAGAGCTGAGTGGAGAACATCTGCAAGACTTACTATCTATTTTCAAGTAGGAGAGGTTATTAAACCATTGTCTAACAGTTAAAATGGCTTGAGCAACTGAAGTTAGAAGCATGTATTTCAATGGCCCTAATTATTTGCAGGTACCTGATGGTTAGTTAAATCTGGCATTTATGTTTGAAATAATTTCTGTTCGCCTTGTTTATAATTGCAAAATTAATGCGTTCACTGTAAAAAGTTCAGAAAGTACAAACAAAAAGAAGCAAAATAACACTAAGCAGTAACTATCATTGCCATTTTGTTGTATATCAAGTTTTTCTATGCATATGTGCAAATATGAAGATTTAAAATATCCATGTTTTTTCTTTCAATGTAGCAATTCAATGTCCACTGTCAGAAATGTATAAAATACAAAACACATATAGAACAAAATAGACAACATTCATAATCAAACACTTAATGTGTAGCTGTACATAGATATACATTTTCTCAAACAAAAATAGGCTCACACTGCTTTGTAAGACCACTCTGCTTTGTAACATGCTTGTCTTAAAGATATAATCTCACTTAAAAAAATATTATCCATCCCTGTTCCAGTGGTAATTGTGGTCCAGGGGACATTTGTCAATATTTAGAGACAAGTTTGATTGTCACAAGGAGGGGCATGTACAGAGAGAGGCCAGGGATGTTGCTAAACACCCTACAGAGCAAGGCTCCCTATCCTGTAACACAAAAGAATTACCCATGCAAATGTCAATGGTGCCAAGGTTGAGAGCCCTACCCTGTTCCCCAAGGTCTCCCCCTCCTTGCAGGTAGAGGGGATTAGAGGAATATTTCAGTTACAGTGGCAAACAGTCAGGATTCCTATAATCCCAATCCATCTCACAAATACTGCCTTTTTCATCCAACCTAAGAACGAACTTGGCAGGGATACCAGTGGGTGGAGGCAACAAAGGCTCCAAATCTTCTGTTTACTTACACTGATAAGTATCTGAATTGCTGGGAGGACCAACAGGCCTGTACCCTCTGAGACAGTCTTGCACATGGATGCTGCGTTCACAAACAGAGCTGGCTCCAAAAGCCCTTTCTTCATTTTCCCCGTACGGACTCCACTTAGGATGCCATCCAGTCTTTACACTCCGTGCCACCCACCCATTCCATGGCTTTCTGAACTCCAGTGGGGTATGAAGACCCACCTCCTTGGCCTCTGTGCTGTCCTTCCTCAGAGATAACCCTGAGTATCAGGTGGTTTTCTTCCAAATGTGTATCAACAATAGATACTTCTGGGACCAAAACTTTGCAAAAAACTACAAGATCACTTGTCATCGTATCTTATAGAGAATAGGAGCAAATTGAACTCTTTTTTCATACCTGACCTTTCTCATATTTGTCTACCTATTTCTGAGAGGCCATTAGTTTGTTTTTATGTCATGATATCCCCCATCAGTTTTAATGGCAAAATAGAATTCCATTATGTGAGTGGATTAAAATTTAAGAAATCCCTCGCTAGTAAAATTACCTGATATACTGTGGGGGGGGGGGGGGGGTCACTATTATGAACAACATTTTGATGTCCATGTACCCTTACATAATGTCTTACTGTTTATGATAAATTTCTAAATGAAGTGACTGATTCAAAAGTATGCCCATTTTTAAGTAGGCTTGTAACAATACTATACAACATAGTTTTAATCAGACATAGCATAATGATAACAATGTATAGTATAGTTGTAACAATATACAATACAGTTGTAATGACATACAGACTCATGGTTTGGCATATATTCACAAACTCTTGCATGTGTACATAAGGAGATGCACTCAAATGTCCACAGCAGCATTATTTGCAATAGCCACATATTGGAAACCTTTCATATGGTCATCAACACTAGAATGAATAAGTAAGTAGTACTATAGTCACACAATTGAACACTACTCAGCAATGATAATGAATGAACTACAACCATATCCAACAACATGAACAAATTTTACCACCATAGTGTTGCGTCAAAGAAAAGACACAAAGGAATACATGAGTTAAATTTGTACAACGTTTAAAAACAGGAAAAATTAAATAGTATTTTCAGTGGTACATACATTGGTGATAGACTATAAAGAACACTGAAAGAATAACTACCATAAAAGGTAGGGTAATGGTTATCCTTAAAGGTGAGTAAGGAGGAATGCATTCAAAGACAGCCATGAAGCTGGTAGATTATGACAATAGTCTTTATTCTCACTTTGAGTAATGGTAATATGTATGTTCACTTTATTATTATTCTCTAAAAGTCATACATATTTTAAATACTTTCCTGTATATATTTTGCAATTTTTACTGAGAAAAGAAAAGTATCCAGCCCACCAAAGTCTTCCCAAGCATCTCATCAGATGCAAGGCATCTGTTCTATCCACCTTCTTCTTCACACATGGAGTCAAACTGTTCAATCTAATATAGAAGAAGAAACAACACCAAAAATAATCAATGCATAATTCTTTGGATAGTGCATGATGGTTTAAAGAAAGATAATAGGAGAAGACTCAAATCCCCCCTACTCCAAATTTTCTCTGCATCCCATAAATTTTTCAGATTTGTGGCACACAAGGTATTTTGAGAAAGATTGCTCCCTCTTAGTAAAAAGGTTCTTAGGGCTCATTCACTCCATTGTATGTTTCTTCAAGGGTCTAGGGAAGATCTCCAGGAGTTCAGAGATCTGCCTGCCCCAGAGGTAATTCTGGCATCTTAGACATCTTCTGTCAGGTTAAATTTATTGATAGCTTCAACCAGAAAGGATAAGCCAAAATGTTTTTCACTTCCAATATATGTGAGTAAAAGCCATAGATGCTATCTTATTTAGGATTCTGAACTGCAAGCAACAGAAGCTATCTCTGCTTCATAAAACAGAAAAGGAGTTTATGAAAACAATATTGGGGATCTTAAAGAATTGTTGGGAGGAATGGAAAGCCACACCCAAGTTAATCTTCCGGGAACAATGTCCGAAACCCTGCAGCAGAGCTGGCCTGGTGAGTAACCAGGGCCACTGCGAACTATCAATGTCACTCCAAGGACAGACACTCTGGCTGGTAACCATGGTCACACCAAAAGCTGGAGGCCTCTGCTGTCACCATAGTGGAATGAATCCCCTTGGCACTTCCTTCTCCAGTTGCTCACTTTCAAATTGAGGTCTCACATTTAATGTGTCTGGTAGAACTTAGGTCACATTGTACATACACTGGCTATAAGGGAAGCCGAGGATGAATGTTCGAGGTTCTAACAATGCACTAGGCCAGTGGTTGGCAAAGTCATTAGTCAACAGAGCCAAATATCAACAGTATAATGATTGAAATTTCTTTTGAGAGCCAAATTTTTTAAAGTTAAACTATATAGGTAGGTACATTGTTATTAACTTAATTAGGGTACTCCTAAGGTTTAGGAAGAGCCACACTCAATGGGCCAAAGAGCCGCATGTGGCTCGCGAACCGCAGTTTGCCAACCACGGCCTAGGCAACCAGATATTATTAACAATGTCTACCTCGAGGTAGGCATCCATGCTCTTTTGCTTCAAAAACTTTCTGTCCGCTCTAACTTATGGAATAACAAAAATTTCGTTCCTGCCAAATTCTAAATACATGATTGATGATATTTTTAACTCTCCAGACAAAAACATGAAATTTCACCATCTGCTTTGCTCTTTTGTCCCTTGTGGGCAATAAATTTCACAAAGTCCTCATGATTCAGAGGAGTCAGAGGTGGGGCCTTAGATCTGAGTCTCCATGCACATTTTATATCCATTTGCATACCACTAGAAGAGGTTGAGTAACCAGGAAGTCCAATTCAACCCTTTTGACAGAAGTGGTTGGCACACAAGACCCTTGCAGTGGTAAAAATGTACCTTTAGGTCATTCAAAACTCCCAGAGTCTCAAGGTGAGGCTGGTGGAGAACAATCACAGGCTGGATTGGATGCCAATTTTATGGCTAGTGGCCATACTGCTCTCTTACAAGCTGTTGCTTTTTGAAGCTATCCTGAAAGGATTTCTGGAGGGATTTAAGACTGTGAAAGTCAGGCTCCTTTTTGTTCTATTCTAATTAGCAATTTTGAGACATGTGCTTTCTACACCAGGACCTTCAGCCTCAGAGGACATAATCTATGCATATTAAAAATATATTTTTACATAGAAACTGAAGATACCTGGTGGGAGTGAAGGGGGAAGTTGCCCTTAAAAGAGAGAGAAAACTGCTGGGATTGTTTCTCACTTAAAACAATTTAAAGCAATTTTCCTCATTTTTTGTATATTATTATTGTCATTATAATTATTACTTTTTTACCTTAGACACTGAAGTCCAAAGGTTATCATCAACCCAAGTTTTTTGAGAGAATATATGGTACCTTGCTGCTCATTTTTCTAAAAAAATTTCTCCTTTTCCCTTTTTTAAAACATTGAGATGGACTGTCAATATTTATTGGAAGTCACAGAGAACTAGAGGGCTTTGTTTAAAACATTGGAACTCCCCTCTTAGTTCCAAAAAAAAAAAAACATACATTGAGCCCTTCAGGTTCCAGACAGAAATGAGAATATATGTTACCTAAAAAGATCATCCAAGAAATAGGACTTGGGAGGATATAAATGCTCCTGCTCTGGGAACTTTTAAGAGAAGGCAGCTTCCAAATGAGCCAATAAATTGATAAGGGGAACATGAAGAGTCCAAAAATATAGTGTATAATAAATGGGGACTTAGTAAATGATAAAGCCATCATTCCAATTGACTGGGAAAGGATGGATCTTTTAGTTAATTCAGTTGGCCCAACTGCCTATTCATCTGGAAAAAATAAGGGTAGACTCCCCTCTTCACATCATATGGAAACAAAAATAAACATATAGATTAAAGATCTAATATTTTTATTATAAACATATAAGAATGAAGTATAGGAGATTATCTGCATAATTTAAGGGTGAGCAAAAAACATCTTCTGTAACACCAAAACTAGACATCACAAAAGAAGAAGTTGACGGATGTACATCAAAATAAAAAACTGTGTAGCAAGGATTCTATAAATAAAATGTATGTTAGACTGGGAGAAATTATTTGCCACCCATATGGTTACTATCCCTAATATATTAAAAGCTATAACATATCATTAAGTAAAATATAAAAATGAGCAAAAAATAGCAATGCAGTGATTGAAAGTATGAAAAAAATGCTCAATATCCCTCTAACTTAGGAAATTAAAACAATGAGATGCAATTTTTAACGAGAAAAAAAGCAAGTTTTGATTTTATTTGTTTGGGGTGTTTTTTTTTTTACTATGTTTATAGTATGATTTTTTTTTTTCAAGAAAGGTAGGAAGAAGGAAAGCCCTATGTATTTGTATGTGTGTGTACAGGGGAGGGTTGTTTTGGAGGGTACACACCAAAATGTTAATTACCTCAGGGTCAGGGGAAGATACTAAACCAAAGTGAATGAATGAAAGAAAGAAAGAGAAAGAAAGAAAGAAAGAAAGAAAGAAAGAAAGAAAGAAAGAAAGAAAGAAAGAAAGAAAGAAAGAAAGGGAGAAAGAAAGAAACTTAATTTTTCTCTTAATACATCTTTGTATTGTTTAACTTCTAATGAGAATTTATTTCCTTTTTAATTAAAAAAAAAATCCAATAATAAAGCACTTCCTTAAAAGTAAATGGGTTATTGACTATTATGATGAATTAGGACAGAGTTGAGACAATTGATTGACTATGTTATGTCATTCATTGAGGTAAAGACATTTTCATTGACAATAAGATATTTTCATATGGCCCTAACTGGTTTGGCTCAGTGGATAGAGCATCGGCCTGCGGACTGAAGGGTCCCAGGTTCGATTCCAGTCAAGGGCATGTACCTTGGTTGCGGGCACATCCCCAGTAGGGGGTGTGCAGGAGGCAACTGATCTATGTTTCTCTTGCATCAATGTTTCTGGCTCTCTATCCCTCTCCCTTCCTCTCTGTAAAAAAAATCAATAAAATGTATTAAAAAAAGATATTTTCACATGATTAATTCTTGTTTATCTACATATCAGTCTACAACTAATGTTCAAGAAATATTACTTTCTTTCAAATCAAAGTTATTTAGACTCTGAGTTCTTCCATCACATGAGGCTGTTGGGACATTCTATTTCTATCATGATTGGGCCCTGTCCAAGGCCCCACCAGACATCTGGGAAATGATAAGGCTGCAAGTGCTGTAACTAAGTGTGGGAAAAGAGGGCTGGACTGGAGACAGAAGATGTGGGTGGAGGCCAGTCTTTTACCTTCCAAATGATCCTGGTAGATTGATACAACTCTCTGTGCCTTGATGACCTCATCTATAATAATAAAAGCATAATATGCTAATTAGACCAGACAGCTTAACAACCTTCTGGACGTTATTCTGGACGTCCTTCTGGATGAAGCTGCAGCAGCGGGGGCCAAGGCAGAGGTGGTTAAGGGCAATCAGGCAGGCAGGCGAGCAGTTAGGGGCGATCAGGCAGGCAGGCAGAGGCAGTTAGGGGTGATCAGGTAGGCAGGCAGAGTGGTTAGGGGCGATCAGGCAGGCAGAGTGGTTAGGGGCGATCAGGCAGGCAGGTGAGCAGTTAGGGGCAATTAGGCAGGCAGGTAAGCAGTTGGGGGCAATCAGGCAGGCAGATGAACAGTTAGGGGCAATGAGGTGGGCAGGCAGAGGCAGTTAGAGGCGATCAGACAGGCAGGCAGAGTGGTTAGGGGCAATCAGGCAGGCAAAAGGGTTAGGGACAATCAGGCAGGTATGCATAGTGGTTAGGGGCGATCAGGCAGGTGAGTGGTTAGGACAATCAGGCTGGCAGGCAGAAGGGTTAGGGGCAATCAGGCAGGCAGGAGAGCACTTAGGGGTGATCAGGCAGGCAGGCAGAGTGGTTAGGGGCCATCAGGCAGGCAGGCAGGCAGGCAAGCGGTTAGGAACCAGAGGTCCCAGATTGCGAGAGGGATGTCTGACTGCCAGTTTAGGGGATCAGGCCTAAACCAGCAGTCGGACATCCCCTGAGGGGTCGCAGATTGTGAGAGGGTGCAGGACAGGCTGAGGGACCTCCACCCTCCTGTGCATGAATTTCGTGCACTGGGCCTCTAGTCTATAAAATAAGATTGGTATCATTTGGCCTGCATAGGTCACAGAGGTGTCATGGCATTATGGTGTTGAATCCTGTTAAAATGACCCATTCTGAAACTCCTGGTGATCTAGGACTTGGCTGAATGACTGCCAAGTAGACTATGAAGATAGTCAAGTCTTTGAGAGGATAATGTGTTTACAATTAAGAGATCTTAGAGAATGAGGCAGAGATGACAAGGGGGATCTGGAATTCAGGTCTCAGAAAGTTAAATCAGCAGAAGGCTCCACAGACTTTCCTTGGTCCTAAGAACTCTCAATATCTAGGTCTAGTACTTCTTCCAACAACACAGTTGCATGGAATAGTTTATTCTCAAAAAAATTAAAATTATCTTTTTTTTTTTTTTTTTTTTTTTTTTTTGCTCATCACACAGAAATTCTTACAGAATGACTAAAGAAATCATTTAAAATTTCTTGGATAGCTCTTTAGAGAGATGATGATTATCCAAATCTTTCTCCAAAAAGTCTTTGAAAACAAGGAGGTGATTTATGAAATGTTCAATGAATGTCTGCAATATCAACAATTGTGTTATAGCCACAAATTAGTACCATTTTTTCTGGGCTCAATGAGCATTCTCTGAACTAAGGGTACCCTGTACTTACAGTATTTGAATAGAGCTTTGTCCACTCTATAGAGTTAATGCCTGGGAAGAGTTAAATTGTGTTCAGGGAATGAGAACCCTGGTTTTATCCTAAACTGGTCAACCATTAGCTATGGACATTGAACCAGGGACTCTGCCTAGGTCTTTGTTTAACCCTCATGGTCAATAAGGCACTCCTACCACCTAGGATTTAGATCACTATTTTCTATTATAACATGATAACAGAAGGTGCCAGCTAGTGGATGTTTGCTTTTTAATTGATTGTCTGGATGTTTTGTCACTTGGTGTTTCTGGGCAGCTTGTAATTTTTACGTATCATAGTGTAGTGTAAGCTCTGACAGTTAAAAGCATGGATGGAGTGTTTGTGTGAACTAATATAAATTCAAAGTAAACATCATTACATAAAAGGGTACGGTCTTTTTTTTTTTTTTTAGTTTTATTCATTTCAAACGGGCCGGATCCGGCCCGTGGGCCGTAGTTTGCCCACGGCTGAGTTGGACAGTTGGACATTTAGCATATTAGCCTTTTATATATTTAGATTCTAATTGATAAGTTGCAACTTCACTCTAAACTTCCTCCTCCATGTGAGCCACTAATGCAAGGGTCAGTAAACTATGCTCCACAGGTCACGTCCAACATGCCACTTGTTTCTGTAAATAAAGTTTTATTGGAAACAGCCACACTCATTTCTTTACATATCATCTACAGCAGCACTCATGCTATATCAGCAAACTTAAATAATTGAGACAGAGATCATAATGATCCACAAGGCCTAAAATATATACTACCTGGCCCTTTATAAAAAGAAAATGTTTGCCACCCCCTGCATAAATGTATCTCTCACCTTAGTTGGAAGGCCTTGCTGTACAGAGGCAACTGTATATCTTGGGCTGACATTGAGGGCCTGACTTACTTGGCCCCAAGTGACTTCCCATTTTTCTTTTGCATAAAGCCTCTGCTCTAACCAAGGTAACCCAATCTCTTTTCTACTTCTTGCAAATAAAAAGGTCTCCCCTTCCCCTCCCCAGCATACAACTAGCAACAGTGGCCCTAATTAATTCACAATGATATTCCCAGATCCTTGCCTCTCAAAACATGGTCCATGAACCAGCAACCTCGACATCATCTAGGCACTTGCTGGAGCTGCAGAATCTCAGACCCCAACCCAGAACAACTGAATCAGAATCTATATTTTAACAAGATCCTCAGATGACTTGACACACTGATCTAGAGCAGTGCTCTCCAACAGAACTTTCTGCAATGATAGGAATGTTCTCGCTGCCATGGCCAATATGGTAGCTACTCGCCACCTGTGACTATCAAGCAATGAAATTGTGACTTGTACAACTCAGAGTCGCAATTTTTAAATTGATTCATTTAAATTAATTATGTCTATAAAACCACATTTGGCTGATAGCTACCATATAGAAGCACAACTCTAGACTTTGCCCTCAGAAAAGGATTACTGGTGAGCACCTGTAGCTCATTTCTGTAAGGCGCCAAAGTCACCTGAAACATTCCAGAATTGCCCTGAGCCTGGAAGAGGATACTTATGGAACATCTAGCAATGCCCCTATTGGGTTCTGTGGCTGGAGCAGTCAGATTGTCTCCAATAGCCCAAGATAGGCACAGACATTGACTATGAATGAAATCTCAAGAACCAAATCCTTCCAGGTGGTAGTTGAGACATGGGGAGGATGTGTGTAAGGATCTATCCCAGGAGGGCGGTAGGGAGAAGGAATACCTTCATCAAGCTGATACATCCAACTGAGGGAACCTGTCCACAGGCAATATCTTGCAAGCTCAGGCCTGACCCTCTGCCTCACCCTAACTACACATGCCCATGAACCAAAAGGCCTCAACCACAGGACCTGTAGAAGCCATCTTGTGAAATCTCTGTACACAGGTTCTGTTGCCAAGGACCTTGTGCAAGGGTGTACAGTGCAGGAAGCTGGTGGCAAAGCAAGGGGTAACCTGGATTTTCTTTTCACAATCAAGTATTTCCTCCTCAAGACAGAGCAAAGACCTCTCCATCCACTCTTGCTCAGAGTCTATATTCTCACAGACTGGGGCCCCCACCACCACTTTCTCCCCAGTGCCTCACACCCTTATGTTCATGGTCTGGGAGCTGCTACTGAAGAAAGTGGAGGCATGCTCTGAGGTGCCTGATTCTTATCTCCCTTGGCTCAAACTGGGTTTCCCAGAAGATCTCTGCCTGTCATACATCAATTTCTTAGGGTTACCATAGCAAATTATCACAAACTCCTTGGCATAAAACAACAGAAATTTATTCTCTCACAGTTCTAGAGGCTTAAAGACCAAAATCAAAAGCCATACTCCTGAAGGCTCCATAGGAGAATTGTTCCTTGCTTCTTCCAGCTACTATGGCCCCTGGCTTTCCTAAGGTTGTGGAAACATAACTCCAGTCTCTACCTCCATCTTCATATGGCCTTCTTCCCAGTGTCTCTCTGTGTCTTCTACTTTTCTATCTCTTAAAGGACATCTGTTGTCATTAGATTAAGGACCCACCCTAATCCAAGATGATCACATTTTAAGTTCCTTACCTTATTTACATCTGTAAGGATTCTATTTCCAAACAAGATTACATTCACACGTACCAGAGTTAAGGCTTTGGACATTTTTTTAGGGCCACTTTTGAAGCCACTATGCTTTGTGTCCAGCATCCTTTCCAGAAATTCTCAATGTCTTCCCTTCTGTGGGTTTCATCGTCCTGCCTGTCCTTCAAACACATTGAAGGGCCTCTACAAAGCTTGCTTTCTGGGGCCAGGAAAAATGTTCCAGCTAAAATAACTCTCTGAACAGCAGGGTTTCACTTTAGCTGTGTACCCTGGAAGCATGGAAATCTGTGGGGTGCTGCCCCTTTTCAACTGGCCCCTCCTACCTACCTTATCCTTACTTTCATGGCACAATGGCATGTAGTAAGGACACCCCCTTCCATTTCCCTGACAGCTTGGTCCCATTCCCACAGTCCTCACTCAACATGCTCCTGTACCCACTGGGAGAACGCCTGGAGAATGTCCCATATTCACTAACATATTAGATGCTCTCCCATTGTCTCCCACCCACACTCCCTCCGTTGAAATGAAATCCCCAGCCCTAGTAGAGTTAGGTCAGATATGGAGATTGTGGTTGGGCCAGATTTGAACACTTGGCCTGGGGAAATAGCCACAGACTAGGTTAAGCTAATCAGACTCCTTTCAGAAAGATAAAAGCTAAGAAGCCTAGAGACTGAGCAGGTTGAACAGGGATGGGCACTGCCGCTGGCTGGAGGTCTTGTGCATTCTGAATTGCAGATCGTGTTGGGATTGCAGTCATGTTGGGCCATGTGCAAGCAAAGGAAGCCTGATTAGGAGGCGGGTGTGCAGAGCTGTAGACACAAGAGAACATTTGGTCTGAGCATTCAACACAGAAAGAGAGGTGCTTAATAACTCCCACTTTCCTCACTCCCTACACATTTTTCCTGAATGTGTCCATTACTTTTCTACAAACCTCCTTTGAACTCAAACAGGCCTAAGTGGGGTTCTGTTCTTTGTAACTAAAAGACAACCAAAATCATTTCTGATTT